TGGGTGACAGAGTGAGACTCCAACTCAAAAAAAAAAAAAAGAAAAAAAGAAATAGTGGATGTCGGCAGCAGTCATCAGTGAGGCTGAAGTGATTGTGGGAAGATTCTGGGGGAGCTTTACATCATTAACATCACAGAAAGAAACACAGCTGGACACCGTGTCCCTTTCCCGTAGCATGACAGGACATGCTCAGTGCCACCCACAGTGCTCTTGCCAGCAGAAGGGGAGCCACTGTCTAGGGAGCACTTGAGGCCTCCTTGCTCTAGAGTGGGGCAGTGGGTGGGTACATGGTGCCCTGGGAAGACATTGGCCAGTCCAGAGGTGGGCCATTTGACATGACAAATGACCTTGTTCCTTTGACAGACGGGGAACAGGTGGAAGGAGGAGGGGCATTAGCAATGGGAGAGACTCGAGGGACGGGTCAGGTGGTTGCAGCATCTGAACCCGGTTAGGGATCTGGGAGGAGACATATTCGGGACAGCCAGGGACATTGGAACACAGACTGGGGTTCGCTGGCATCAGGAATTAGAGATGGGGTTAGGCCCGGCAAGAGCATTGTGGTTATGTTTAAAACCATTTCTAGCGGCGATGCCAGTGAATGTTTGGTAGAGCTGTCCCGTGCAGGAGAGTCTTCAGCAGTATCTGGGCCCTGCCTGGGCCCTGGTAGCAGCATCCCCTTCAGCTAAGTATTCCTGGACATAGCTCACTGTTTCTTCGGGGGCACAGTTACCCCCAGAAGAGGCCCACTGTCTTAGAAAAGAGTCCTTATGTGTTAGAGACACGTATGGTGAAAATATGTATGGCGAAAGCGTGGCAGTGTATGGTTGTTTTAAATACTCCGGTGAAAGCCAGCAGGATGGGAGAAACAGGAAGCAGGGATCCCTGGGTCACCGTGGCTGAAGCTGGCTGCTGATGCCAGACACTGGAGTGCACTGTTCTCTTCTCTACTTTTGTGTATGATGGAAACTTCCCATGACAAAGGAAAAAGGAATGTAGGCTCTGGAGCCAGGAAGCCCTGCCATATACCAGCTGTGAGACCTTGGGCAGGTCACTTTACCTCTCAGAGCCTTGGTTTCCTTGTCTGTAAAATGGGGCTCACCATGACACTGACCTCGCAGAGCTGTGGCAGGGTTGTGTCTAGCTGTGGTCACTGACCACTTGGGAGGTGCCAGGCCCTGTTCTGATCACTTGTTTAAACTCTCTCCATCTCCACAGAAGCCTTGGAGTGCTGGGCTCTCTCCATTTCACACACAAGGAAACTGAGTTTCAGGGTGTTTAAATAATTTACTTTAGATCTCTAAGCTTGGAATTGGCAGAACTGGGATTTGAATCTGGGTTTCTCTGGCTTCAAAACTTATACTCTTTTCTAAACAACTTTTTTTCCTTTTTTCCCTATCACACAAGGAGAGGACAAAACCTATAAATCACTCTACGCCAGAGAGTGAACAGCTCTGGCCCATGGACCAAACTCAGCCCATTGCCTGTTGGTTTTAATAAGGTTTTATTGGAGCATAGCCGGGTCCATGTGCTTACATGCAGTCCACAGTGCTTTCATGCTGGAGTAACAGGGTTGAGTGGGTGTAACTGAGACCCTACGACCCCCAGAACTGGAAGAATTTGCTCTCAGGGCATTTCAGACAAAGTTTCCAGTGTGTTCTATGGACAGAGCCTGTTTAGCGTGGTCATGAAGTAGGAACCTGCGTGCCACACCCCCAGCAGGAGGGACTGTGCTGGCAGGATCTTGAGGGGAGGGGACACAGAGCCAGGTCTGTGACTTGATGTCAAGGTTTGTCCTCCACAGGCCGCTGTCCACCAACACGGAGCCCACCTCAGGGGCATCCTGCAACCCACCCTTGGCCGAGGAGTCCTCTTCCTCCCCGCTGGTCAGTGAAGAGAGTGGGATGGACAGGACTGACCACAGGGACATCAAAAATGTGTGCTTCAAGGTGTCTGAGAAGGATCAGGAGGACTTGGGCCACGACACCATGAGCTACTGCGACTCCTACAGGTGGGTGTGGCCCTGGGTGGCCCAGGGTTGATGCAAGCAGGACCATCAAGGCCACTGACCCCTGAGACAGAATCAGTGGGACATTTCTCAGGGTACAGAAGGATCGGAGTGCTGTTGCTAATGTTGTGGTTCTGGGGGGGATTATCTGAGCCTCCAAAGCACATCCCAGAACAACCACTTGTTGTCCACAAGAATGTGGATGCTTGGGTGTCCCTACCCTGAAGGCAACACTTCAGGCCCCATCCCATATAGACACCTTCCGTTCTGCTTCAGCGTCACTTACATACACACTCACGGGATGTGTTGTCAAAGACAAGGTCAAGGTCAAGATTATATGGTGTGTTTCAAAACTCAATATAAGACTCTTTATTTTTACTTGATTCAAAGAGGAAGAATTTTTTTCATCTTTTTCAACTGAGGATCTGGATTGTTTCTCTCTCTTGTTTTTTTTTTTTGAGTTGGAGTTTCATTCTGTTGCCCAGACTAGAGTACAATGGCACGATCACAGCTCACCACAGCTTCAACCTCCTGAGTTCAGGCAATCCTTCCACCTCAGCCTCCCAAGTAGTTACAAGTGCATGCCACCACACCTGACAAATTAAAAAAAATTTTTCTTTGTAGAGACAAGATCTTGCCATGTTGCCTAGGCTGGTCTCGAACTCCTGGATTTAAGCAATCCTCCCACCTTGGGAGCCTCTGTGCCCAGCCTGAATTGTTTTTCTACTGGTTAAATTAATTGTAACAAGATCAGTTTAATTCTAGTTACTGGGCTAAATAGACTGAGACTCAGTTTCCTATACTAAACCATGTAATGGATAGTTGTAATTTCTTACCACAAATAAACAAGCACTACAGTCCCAGTGAAGGTGACAGAGCATTTGATTACTCTGGGTAAGGTAGTCTTAGAGAGGCCTTTAGTTGATCGCAGGCAAAAGCCTGAACTGATGTAACTCGACTAGAAATGCCTTCACCCAGTCCACCCAGCGTTGACCTTCTCTCAGTCCTCAAGGGCTCTGGCTGTCCACTGTGTCCTACCTTCCTTGTGTCTGTGTCACAAGACGTCCTGGCTGCCTCTGCACTTGGTCTCCTGGGAGCCTCATGTCTGTGGTCTGAGAATTCACCATCTGGATTTTCGTTCTTACATTTTGGGACCTCTGATTTTTCCACAAATTGTCAAAAAGGTGAAGGAAATAATCTCAGTATTGTGGCTTTTGAATCCTTTACCTTCTCAGTTCCTGGGGTGTCACAGGTCAGATTCAGTCTGTCATCACAAGGTTCCCCGCAATGTTGCACAGACAGAAAATGCAGCTGTGTGGTCAAGTGTGGCATGGGAGGTGTCCAGGGCAAGGCTGTCCTTTGAGGAAGCTGGGCAGGGTGCAAGCAAGTCCCCATCCTCCCACTATTTCTGCCTTCCTGTGCTGGAGCCCAGAAGTGTTTCCTCCCAGACATGCAAAAGTGGCTGGGCCAACCTTCCCTGTCTTTCATGCCAGTGGTCAGGCCTTGGTTCCGTCTCTGGGCTGGATATCTATAGGATGGCTCAGGGGTTTTGTCTATACTCCAGAAAGTGAGCTCCAAGTGCCAGGACCAGCAGATGTGAGTTGGAGTGTGGCTCAGCCCCTCTTCTTGGCTCCTTTGCAGCAAGTGTAACAGCAACTGGGACTTGGTCCTGTCCTGTACCAGCATGAGAAGCAACAGCTCTGACCTGGGCAGTGATGAGATGGGGTCTGGTGAGTGGGCGGACGTGCCTGGGGAGAGTGGCCCTGGCATGGTTTTATTTGGTTTTTATTTTATTACACTGTGCATTCTATTATCCTGTGTTCTGTTGCATAGTACTGTCCTTTATTCCCTTCCTCTGGCTCATTCAGCACATATTTATTGAGCATGTGGATGCTAGGAACACAGAAGAGAGTGAAATAGAGATCCCAGCCTCATGGACCTGACATTCTCTGTGAAGGTCATGGATACAGGCAAATAAAAATACACATGATACCATGCTGTGTGGTAGTGCGTGATCACATATGATGTGTACTTGGAATGAGTGAATTGATGTCACTAAATAGGGTGCCTGATGTTGCCATGAAAATGACACATGCTCAAACTAGAAATCTACAGTTCAAAAGCACTTCATAAAAATATGGCCAGGCATGGTGGCTCATATCTGTCATCCCAGTACTTGTGGAAGCTGAGGCGAGAGGACTGCTTGAGCCCAGGAGTGGAATTCAAGACCAGCCTGGGCAATGGGCAACATAGTGAGATCTCGTTGCTAAAAGAAAAAGAAAAAAAATTAACAAAAATAAGCACGTAAAAATCAGGACCTCATTTTCTCCCCTAGAAGTGACCTTTTTCAGTATTTGATGAACATGTGGGTGGGTGGATGGACAGAAAGACAAATATTGTTTAAATTGGATCATACTCTGCTTGCAGTTTTTACTGAAAGCCTGAAATTTGTTTTTATTTGAGTCTTATTTACCACAGACTTTTTACAAAATTCATTTGGCAAGTGGATCCACACAATGCATACTTTGAAAGGCACAAGGGTGCTTGGAGACAGGTCTCCTCCCACCCTGGGTTCTCAGGCTGTTGCCACAATTCCCATGGTCACTACTGTCTTGCATGTTCTTTCAGAGGTAGTCTGGGCATAAACATTTAATTTTATTGTGCCTCAATTTAACAGACGAAAAAGAAGCTCAATTAAAATGGTAGATATTGCTGACATTTAGATGAAGATTTCATAACATAAGACACAAGATATTCGACCTCAAAAGCCATCCTGGGGACATTCTGAGAAAGAGCCTATGCGCAGCTGGTGTAACTGAACCAGCTGGGCAATGGGTCAGGATACAGGGGTCCAGTTCCTTCTTTCTGCTTCTCAGTCTCTTCCTTTGTAGGATGAAATACATTGCCTTAAATGTTTGTGATGTGTTAGTGCCTGTTGCCATTTTGCAGATGAAGAAACTGAGGCTTAAGGAGGTCGAGTGATCTGTCCCATGGCTCAGCCAGGACCCAGTCCTTAGGCTTCAAATGCCCTGTGGGTCTGGAGCTCTGTCACTGTGTTTGCCTTCTTGAGAAAGAGGCTGGGAATGTGAGGTGGGGCAGGAATGGTTGGTGGTTACCACTTCTTCCTGCTAGGAGATGAGCTGCCCTGTGACATGCGAATTCTGTCAGACAAGTAAGACAAGCTCCAAGGCTGCCTAGAGCATCTCTTTAACCAGATAGACCCTTAGCCCCAGCCTGGGTGTGACTTGGGTTCTTTCTTCACCTCTGGTGAGAGCCCAGGGATGGGGGTGGGTAAGGGCCACAGGTCCCAGGTCTTCTCAGTCTTGAGGAACATGGATCCATATCAATCCGCAGTCTCTATCTGCCAGGTGGATTCCATCAATGCCCTCCTCAAGGGGCTGGTCATGAGCAGGGCTTTTGAAGAGACCAAGCATTTCCCCATGGACCACAACCTGCAAGGTGAGGGATGGGCAGGGTCCAGCATGGAGTCTGCCTGCAGCAGGGATGGACACCCGGGCACACACTCAGTCCTGTCCCTCTTTTGCTGGGTGGCTGTGGGCTCACCGAGGGGCCAGAAGATTTTGGTCCATGGCCCACATTCAGCCCATGGCCTGTTTTTTGTGCAGACACTGAGCTAAGAACGATTTCTTTTTTTTTTTTTTTTGAAAGATTGTAAAATCACAACAAGCAGAAAACAAAGACTACATGTCAAGGGACAGTAGGCCCTGCACAGCCTGTGATAGAATTAGCCAAGCAGAAGAAAGAATCTCAGAGCTCGAAGACCAAAACACAGAACTAACCCAAACTGTCAAAAGCATAGAAAAGAAGCTAAAAAAGACAGAACAAAACCTGCAAGAGATGATCGATCACTTCAAGAGACCAAAAATAAGAGCAATTGGGCTTCCTGAGGCAGAGAGAGAAACAGAAGCCACACTGGAACAAACATTTCATGAAATCATTCAAGAAAACTTCCCTCATCTCATCAAGGATGAAAAAATTCAAACACAACAGATTCAGAGAACCCCTGCAAGACAACAAATGAGAAGACCAACTACCAGACACATAATAATTCACCTAAACAAAGTAGCTATAAAAGAAAAAATCCTAAAGGCAGCAAGAGAAAAAGGCCAGACTACCTACCAGGGAAAACCAATTAGAATAGCAGCAGATTTATCCACAGAAACCCTTCAGGCTAGAAGAGCCTGGAGCCCTATCTTCAAAGTTCTAAAAGATAAACAATTTCAACCAAGAATAACCTACCCAGCCAAACTAAGCTTCATTAGTGAGGGAGAATTGAAATCTTTTCCAGACATCCAATCCCTAAGAACCTACGCTGCCACCAGACCACCTCTACAAGAAACACTTAAGAAAGTACTAAACACAAAAGAAAAAGAAAAAAGAACGACAACATTCTTCACAAGAGTACAGGCAAAAGATTAAAAACACACATGAACCAACTCCAAAACCCAAAGAAAGACAACAAACAAACAGGAACAACTCTGTAAAAACCTTATGACAGGGATCAACTCTTGCATTTCAATTATTAGCCTAAATGTGAATGGACTAAATGCACCACTGAAAAGACATAGAATGACAAAATGGATAAAATATCATAAGGCAACAATCTATTGCCTTCAAGAGACTCACCTCACTAGAAAGGACACCCACAGACTCAAAGTAAGAGGATGGGAAACAAACTTTCAGGTGAACAGAATACAAAAGAAAGGAGGAGTAGTGATCTTAATTTCAGGCAAAATACCCTTCAAGCTATTAAAAATCAAAAAAGATACAGAAGGCCACTACATAATGATAAAAGGCTCAATCCATCAACAAGAAATATCTATCCTAAACATATATGCACCCAACATAGGTGCGCCAACTTTCATAGAGCAACTTCTAGGAAAACTAAAGAAAGATATTGACTCTAACACCATCATAACTGGGGACTTTAATATCCCACTCACAAACCTAGACAGATCATCAGGACAAAAAATCAGGAAGGAGATCCAGAACCTCAATGTGACTTTGGACCAAATGGACTTAATTGATACCTACAGAACACTCCATCCAAAGACCACAGAATACACATTCTACTCATCACCATATGGAACATATTCTAAGATCGACCACATACTCGGCCATAAATCAAGCATAAGCAAATTTAAAAGGACCGAAATTCTACCATGTACCTTCTCGGACCACAGTGGAATAAAAATAAACATTGACACCAACAAAGTCCCCCCAAAACCCACAAAGACATGGACACTAAGCAGCATGATGCTAAACAACTCCTGGGTCAATGATGAAATCAAAACAGATATCAAAAGATACCTGGAAACAAATGAAAATGAAGAAACATCTTACCAAAATCTCTGGGATGCCCTGAAAGCAGTAGTAAGAGGGGAATACGTATCCCTACAAACACACATGAAGAAAATGGAAGGAACAGAAATTGACAACCTAACAAGCCACCTAAAGAAACTGGAAAAGCAAGACCACAAAAACCCTAATTTCAGCAGAAGAATCCAGATCACCAAAATGAAAGCCCAAATCCAGGACATAGAAGACAAAAAGATAATACAAAAAATAAATGAAACAAAAAGCTGGTTCTTCAAAGATATAAACAAGATTGATGGTCCCATAACTAGACTGACCAAGAAAAAAATGAGAAAAAAAACCAAATAACCACAATCAGAAACACAAAAGATGAAGTCACATCTGACCCTGAAGAAATACAAAAGATCATTAGAGACTACTATGTACACTTGTATGGAAACAAACTTGAAAACCTCAAGGAAATGGAGGACTTTCTGACATCACACAACCTACCTAGGTTGGAACAAGAAGAAATTGAGACCCTAAATAGACCAATAACAATCAAGGAAATCGACTACGTAATAAGAAAACTTCCTACAAAAAAAAGCCCTGGTCCAGATGACTTTCCAGCAGAATTCTACAAGACATTTAAGGAGGAGCGGATACCAATCCTACTGAAGGTATTCCAGGCGATTGAAAAAGATGGAACTCTCCCCAAATCATTTTACGAAGCCAACATCACATTGATACCCAAGCCAGGTAAAGATCCAACAAAGAAAGAGAACTACAGGCCAATACCTTTGATGAACATAGATGCTAAAATTCTCAACAAGATCGTAGCAAACCGGATTCAGCAATACATCTCAAAAATCATCCACCATGACCAAGTAGGCTTCATTCCTGGGATGCAAGCCTGGTTCAACATTCATAAAACCAAAAATGTAATTAAATTCATCAACAGATGTCAAAACAAAAACCACATGATCATATCATTAGATGCAGAAATGCTTTTGATAAAATCCAACACTCCTTCCTGATAAAAACCCTTGAGCATCTAGGCATACAGGGAACATACCTCAAAATAGTAAAAGCCATCTACGAAAAACCCATGGCCAACATACTCCTAAATGGACAAAAATTGGAATCAATTCCTCTGAAAACTGGAACTAGACAAAGATGCCCACTCTCACCCCTCCTGTTCAACATAGTATTGGAAGTCCTGGCTCGAGCAATCAGAGAAGAGGAGGCAATCAGGGGTATCCAAATAGGAAAAGAGGAAGTCAAGTTATCTCTTTTGCAGATGATATGATTGTGTACCTTGAAAACTCAAGAGAATCTGTCAAAAGCCTCCTTACATTGATAAAGGCCTTTGGCAAAGTCTCAGGATACAAAATAAATGTACAAAAGACAATCACATCTCTCTACACCAATAATAAACAGAAACCCAAATAAAAAACACAATTCCATTCACAATAGTCTGTAATGAAAAAATGAAATACCTTGGCATCTTCCTAACCAGAGATGTGAAAGACCTTTACAATGAAAATTACAAAACAGTGCTCAAAGAAATCAAAGATGACACAAACAAGTGGAAAAATATCCCATACTCATGGATTGGAAGAATCAACGTTGTGAAGATGTCCATCTTACCTAAGGCAATCTACAAATTCAATGCAATACCCATCAAATTACCAGCAACATTCTTCTCAGATCTGGAAAAAACAACACAGGAATTCATATGGAAACACAAACGTCCAAGAATAGCTAGAACAATCCTCAGCAAAAAAAAAACAAAGCAGGTGGTATCACATTACCAGACTTCAAACTTTACTATAAAGCTACAATCATCAAAACAGCTTGATATTGGTACAGGAACAGGCATATAGATCAATGGAATGGAATTGAGATTCCAGAAGCAAAACCTCAATTTCTCAACCAACTCATCTTCGACAAAGCCCCCACCATCTACCACTGGGGAGAGGAGAACCTATTCAGTAAATGGTGCTGGGAAAACTGGCTGACCACATGCAGAAGATTGAAACAGGACTCCTATCTATCCCCATGCACAAAGGTTAACTCCAAATGGATCAGAGACCTAAATGTAAAACCTCAAACCATAAGAACCATAGAAAGGGAAGGAAATACCCTCATGGAAATCGGAACTGTCATCCAATTCCTGAACAAAACCCGAAACCCACAGGTCATAAGAGAGAAGATAGACAAGTGGGACCTTATTAAACTGACAAGCTTCTGCAAAGCCAAAGAAACCATCAAGAGAGCAGGAAGACAGCCTACAGACTGGGAAAAAGTATTTGCCAACTCCAGGTCTGACAAAGGCTTAACATCCTGGATCTACAAGGAACTCAAACGTGCTGAAAAGAAAAAAACAAACAACCCCATTATAAAATGGGAAAAAGATATGAACAGACACTTCACAAAAGTAGACATCCTAGCAGCCAACAAATACATGAAGAAATGCTCAACCTCACTAATCACCAGGGAGATGCAAATCAAAACCACACTGAGATACCACCTAACTCCAGTCAGAATGGCAATTATCAACAACTCAAAAAATAACAGCTGCTGGAGAGGG